CCTATTATACTCGGCGTAAGATCTAGATTCTGACACAAATAGGTCTTGAAAAGTTGCTTCCGAAACCTGTAGAAGCCTGTGCTTCAAGATCAATGTGATTTGAGAATCTAGGAAGGAAGTTAGAGGGAGAATGGCAGGCAAGATAGAGCAGAATGTGGTCTGAGCTAATAGAAGCCAAGTAACTGTTACAGACAAGCAGAGAGTGTTCTCTGATTTGCAAGCTATGGTTATTCTAATTGATTTCTGCATACTTGTGGATAGGGATCTGCCCTCTTCCATTAATTTTTCTCTTGACAAGTAAGATGTGAAATGTTGCTCCATGCCTTTCTAATTTAAATGTTGCACATGTTGAGAACCGATCTTGCCAGCCATTTTAAGCCTTGGCCAAAACCATAACACATTGTTGTTATTAGCCTTCATTATTTGGTTAGAGCCAACATTTTGTTTGGAGCTATGCTGGAGTATAAATCTCCTTTATAGACATAACCTATTTCTGCCATAAAGTAGATACGATGAGAAGGCAGCTGAGTTTCCTTGATGAGTTGCTCTGGGTAGCCTTGCGAGGCTGATGAAGCCTGGGATGCTCATTGCGAGAGAATTCTTGGAAGTGAGATTCGTGCTTTGAGGATCTTGTGATTGAGCTGAGGAGAAAGACGCGTGGATAACTAATCTAAGGCGCTATGTGAAAAGTACACATACACGAAGATCAGAGGGAGCTTAGAGGAGAAACAGAGCATTACCTCACAGCTCGCCTTTGGGGCTGTGGACAAAGTCCTTGAAGCCACATGCACCACATGCAGCCTGCAGGCTGAGTGAACCATTTGTCTCACACGCACGTGCACTACTGTTTTCCGAATATATGGAGATGCCCTGGTGGCCAACAATGCTTTTAAATGAGTTCTTGTAATACTGCATTTACTGTAGCTTTGTTGTGTAACTTCGATCAGTAGACTCTACACTTACCGTTTCTATCGTGGGCATCTGTGAAATTTTTTCATGTTAAAGATTGTTTCAGTTAGCTGAAGATTGGAAACTTTCATTGTCTGTAGCAGTGCTGTTCATTAGGACTTTCTGTGATCATGGAAATTTCCCTGCATTGTCCAGTCTGGTAGTCATGAACTACATACAGCTCTTGGGGACTTGAAATATGGCTAGTGGGACTGAGGACCTGAATTTTTAATTTTATTTGGTTTTAACTGATTTAAATTTAAAGAGCCATGTGTGGTAGAGGCTACCATATTGCACAACACAGATCCATTATATCCCTTTGTAGGTAATTTTCTAAATATCCCCCTATCTTCCCCAAGTTTCCTCTGCCACACCCCCTCCTAGTTTGTTTAGACTTCCACCCGCACATGTGGGTGGCACCCAGGCCCCAATTGTCCTACTTCTGAAGATTCCTTAGCCCAAGAGAAGAGTTCTCCACAAATGCTTAATGAAATGACTGAGAGCCTTTCCTAATCACAGAAATCGAAAGGAATGGTGACTTACCACTTTCTTTCAGCCACCACCTGACTCTCAGAAAGAGGTTTCTGCTGTCCTGGGACACATGAGCTAGTGGTTTTCATACTTAGTTTGTTTCAAAGTTCATATTGCGTGATCCTCCTTTAAAAGTTGACTATCTGGGTAGGCTATAAATAATTAATAGAAACTCAGAAATCAGGATCGTATTCTAGGGTTCTCAATGGGAAATTTTCCCTTTCCTTTGCTTCCCTGATAATTATTAGCAGTAACCAAATGGTCTTCCTTCTCTAACTTACTGTGAAACAATTTGAGTTCATAGCACTTTACGAGTTATCGATCTTATGACCCTTGGAGCCGCCTGAGATTGTCATGGGTGGTAGCAACACATGGTTTAATGGCTTCTGTTAGGTGAAATCACAGTGGGATAGTCGTCAAATATCTCTGAACATTAAGTTCACCTTTTTATTTATATTATGGCTGATATTCATTATAAATGTAGTGCTAGTTGGATTACTAAGTAATTCAAAATCGTTATTTTTCGCAAAAGAGTTTTGTACTAAACTGTTTTAAAACAAGATGAGGGAGGAAAGCAGTAACATGTAGAATTCAAAAAGGCATCTGAACTCACGTGAGGAGCGCTTGCAACAATAGTGAACACCTTTAGTGGACCGGCCTGGGAAGAGGCCTTTCTGTCAAGGGGGCCTTCAGTCCCACCTGCTCCGCAGTGGTGCTGGCAGCATCCTCTCTCTCCCTGCCTCTGGCCGGGCTCTCTCACTTCCTGCTCTTCCTGCTTTGAGGCCTGAGACTTGGAGCTTTCTTCATGTATCAGTCCCAGAGTGAGGAACGTTTCATTTGCTGAACCAAGAGGCCAGAATGTGTCCACTCAGCTCCTGCTGAGCAGCGCACCCTGACACCAAGCATGCCAGCGGGAGAGGAGGCTTGAAGTGTGCCCAGAGGGTGTGCACCCCCAGCGAGGCCTTGACATAACCAATGGGTGTCTTGTAACCTTCATTCTGTGCATCAGGAGTCCTCTCCACCCTCTTTCATAAATTTCCACTGACAAGTTGATCCACAATTATTTCTGACAATAAAATATTGACCATCTCTTCTCTTAGCACCTCCTTTTGTTGTGTTTGTGCCATTTTAATAAAACACATCCCCCATGGTCTGCTACTCTCCATTTAAAAGGAGCTGACTGGGTTGTGGTGGTGGTGAGTGTGTGTGTGTGTGTGTGTGTGGTGGGTCGGGAGTCACGAGGGAGG